CAAACAGCATTTGCCTGTTTGGCAGAGAGGCTGTGGGACCCGGGTCAGAGCTACAGATTGACCCATCTCTCAGTTCCAGAACTTGACCAAGAGCCCCTGACCAGGTTCAAAACATCTGCTGCCCTCTCCCCACATAGCCCTTGGACAGAACAATACAGGTTTTCTGTCACTTGCAACCTCAGAATCCTGACTGGGGCTCTGGACAGGTATCAAGAACCCAAGGATCCCACATGATAAGCAACCTAATTTTAAAACAGGCAAAGTTTCAAACAGACATTTCTCCACAGAAGATCTTCAAAGAACCAAAAGTACATGAGAAGATGCCCCTGCTGTTAGTCATTAAGAAATGCAAGTTAAAACCACAGAGACACTACTCACCCTGACTAGGGTGGCTATCAGCAGAAAACCGGAAAACAGGAAGTGCTGATGAGGAATTGAAGAAACTGAAACCCTTGGGCATTGCTAGAGAGGGTGGAAAATGGCGCAGTCACTATGGAAAGCAGTGTGGAGGTTCCATCAAATGCTTGCAAATGTTTTGTTCTATGTATTTTATATTTATGTGTTGTATAGACATATGTTACATATATTTTACCACAATTAAAAACAACAGTTGACCATAGTATTATGATTCATCAATTCCACTCCTGGGTATCAATCTAAGAGACTTGAAAGCAGGGACATATCCAATAGATACACAAACACCAATGTTTACTGTAGCACAATTCACAACAACCCAATGGTAGATACATCCCAAGTGCCCATCAGCAGGTGAATGGATTAACAAGATCTGGTCCATTCTGATCTCAGCCACAAAGAGAGAAACATGCTATGACATGGATGAACCTTGAACACATCCTGCTGAGTGAGGTAAGCCAGACACCAAAGGTCAAATACTACTATATGCCCTCGCTTACCGGCAAATGCAGGAAACAGAATAGAAAGTAAGTGGTTACCTGGAGCAGGTGGGGTCAGGGGAGATGGAGAGCTGTTGTTTAAGTGGGGGTGCTGAGTTCTGTGAAAGGTGACAAACAAAATTTGGAAATGGATAGAGATGGTGTGGCGCTGTGGGTTAATGCGCTGCACTGCAAAGTTCGTTTGATATATGTACGGTTGGTGGTTCAAGCTCACCAACCACTCCTCAGAAGCTCTATACAGTCGCTATGGGTGGGAACCAACTCCATAGCACTTAACAACAAGTATCTGCAACACACAGTGACTGGGATTTGTGTCACTGAATCCTATGTATAAAAATGGTCAAAATGGCAAATGTTTTATATATTTTAACATAATTATCAAAAGGAAATAAAAGACAAAAGACATAACCCTAAATACATGATGTCTAAAAAGTAGGTGTCCCAAATGGTTCTTGTTTTAGCGACACCTGCCCTCCAGGTACACTTGCATGGACAAAATCTCATTGCTGGGACCTGCTCTGGAGTCTTGCTCTTTCCCATTTCCTAAACATTCTGTGATTGGGTATTAATCCGGAAATGACAAGACAGGAGATGCACACTATTCGTTAAAAGCCTACTTCCTGCCATTCTATGAGGAGAACGGGACCAGTCCCAACCCCAGCACCTGGACTGTGATGTGGCTCTGTGAGTCAGGGCCCGACTCTGCTGGAATACCACACAGTCCAGAGCTCAAATCCCCTCCCAATGGCCATCCAGACTTGATGTGCATACCACTAGGCTCAGGGAGCTCACCACCACCTGAGGCACAACATTCCCATGCACAGTTCCTCCCTTAGTTTGGGCTGAGGCTGCATCTCTGGGACGCAGGCTTCTCTCTGCTTCTGGGCCTGTGCACATGTTGTTCCCTCTCCATGGAATACCCTTCCCCGGGAGTCTGCACAGCTACCTCTCTCTTACCATGTGCCTGGAGCCAACCCCTCAGAGCAGGGAACCCCAGGAACCCTATCCACAGTGAGACCTGCCCAACCAGAAAATCAGGATCCACACTACCTGGACAGCAGGTCCCAGCTCAGTTGTGTGACTACCAGTGACCCCCATACCCCTTCCCTGAAGAGTAAGGTGCTTCTGAGCGCCCCTACCTACCTACTTCATGAGGGTAAGACCCTAGAGGCTCCAGCAGAGGCAGGGTTGGGGCTCACAGCATGCTGGGGATGGCCCAGCCCCCTCACAAGACCCTGAGTTAGGATGCTGAGAGTCTGGGAGCAGGGTGGTCCCTGTGTTAGGCAGGCATGGGGGACAGGGCGGAGCACCAAAGCTCCTCTCCCACCCACCCCCACAGCACCCACCTCACCGGCCCCCTTCTTGGAGTCTGTTTATTCAGAAAATGTCACGGGGTCCCCAAGAAATGAGGTCCCTAAAGAGCGGGATGCAGTATGGGGAATTCTCCACTAGGGGAGAGACCTTGGGGATATACATGGTGGCCCAGTAGCTTCCGTCCCCAACACATCTTAACCCTGTGGGATGGAGATACTCACCACACTCAGGCAGAAGCTGCGAGACTCAGTGTGGGCCCAGCAGGGGCTTGGCAAACAGGGAAAGAGGGGAGCAGAAGGGCAACTGAGGGTTCATTAGAGCAAGGGGCATCCAGTGCCCGTGACCTAGCTCCATGCTTGGGAGGCCTGATGGGGGTAGGCATGTCCAGGCTGGACTCCCAGGAGTTCACACTCCCAGCCACCCCACCCTGCCCAGGACAACTTCCAACACCACAGACGGTGCTCCCCCCACTCAGCCTCCCTGGAAAGTGCCTCCCAGCCCCAGCCCAGGCTTTGGTTCCTGGTGGGGCAGGAACAAGAGGCCTGAAGCAGGATTATGCTCTGCTCTTTTCACCCAACTCAGAGCCTCAGTTTGCTATTCTGTACAATGGCCACCATTATCTCCATCTCTGAAGGCCTAACACAGAGCTGCTGGGCCAAGGAGTCCCCAGGGGGCCTTACCAACAGCTGTGGGGGTAAGAGGTAACAAGGGATGAAGGCAGATCCCCCATGTGCCTGCCCAGCTCCAGACCCACCTCCCTGTGTAAGGCCCATGGGGTAGGTGGGGGAGCTGCCAGACCCCTGAGACTAGGTAGGCCAGGACACAAAGGGGTCCTTGGAAGGGCAAGGGGCCAGGTGTACCTCAACCTGTTTAGGAATGGGGAGTGCTTGCTACACCACAGGAGTGAGGTGAGGGAAGGAAAGGACTCCTTACCACAGCCCAGACTCCCTCACCTCTATCTTACATGGGCATCTAGAAGAACACTGCCCCCCACAGAACACTGCAAAGGCAACCCCAGCCTTAGAGGAAGCGGTGTAGTGACACAGGCCCAGAGAGGCTGCACACATGTCCTGGGATGCCCAGCAAGAGGATAGGCACACCAGGCCTGGCTTCCCCTTACTGCTGCTGCTGCTGCTCCTTGGAGCAGAGGCGGCTGGGATGGAGATGGGATGGTTTCCACACTGTGAATTATTCAGCGGTTAACACAAGAGACCGGGCTGAGTCAGAGTCTCCCACGGACACCAGGGCACCTTCACGACCCCTTCCTTCACTCCCCCACCACATATCCGGAATTCCAGCCAAGGCTGCAGTGAGAGTACCCCTGAAAGCCGAGGGGAAGGTAGTATACACAAGGAGGAAGCTCTGAGCTCACTTGGAGCCTTGCGATGCACTGAAAGGACAACTTTGAAAGGTAAATCAGCCCACCTCTTCACCTCCCAGAATGACAACCCACTTCTAGGTTCCTGGTGTGCATGAGTGGGGGGGTCCAAGACACTCCATACTAACCAGCCCCAAGTCCTGAGCTAGAACGTGGGAGTCTGCTTTTTATAGCCCTTCCCCTTCTTCCCAGCTCCCAGGTCTCTGGGCAAGCCCGGGCCAATCCCAAGGCCCCTTTTTCATCTGCTTAGAAACTAGGGAACCTGAGCAGCAGGTAAGCAACCCTGCAGAGCATACATCCACCCCCGCTCCCCATCCTTCACTTCCGGTCCTTTCCCTGGGTGGGGGAGGCCACAGAGCTCAAAGCCTATGGAATTGTGGATGTACAAGTCCAGTACCATGCCAGCCCAGCACACCTGGGTTTCTGCAGAAACAGCTCAAAGGGGACCCAGGGGGACTTGGGCCAGAAGGCACCCCAGACCACGGGGCAGGAAAGAAAGGCCCACAGCTGCCAGAACCCTGCCTGGACACCAGGGCCAGTGGATCCATCACAGGGGTAGCGGTACCTTGGCAGGCAGCCAGGCCCTGGAGGCTCAGCCAGCTCAGTGTCTCCCCAATCCCACAGCCCAGCCCAAGGCCCACCTGTCCCAGGACTCTGGAAGCCTGGACTCAGTGGTGTCACCACATGGACAAACTGCAGATCCCACAGGCTGACTACAGAGCGGTGGTCATTACCAACTAGGAGGGCTGGCATTGACCCAGGTCACTCAGCTACCAACAGCCCAGCAATGGGATTCCCTGGGTCCCTGGGGTGAGCATCCAGGATGGAGAGGGGCCAGGTGGAATTGACAGCTGGTATGAGGGGAGGGGATCCACAGAACCCCAGATGGGGGGCTGGATCAGGGCCCAGATGAGGACTGGAGACTGGAGGGAGGAGGGGTCAGGACCATGATCTTTAGGGAGGGGACCTGTCTCTGGGGAGGATATTGTGATCCTCAGAGGAGAGGAGGGAGAACTATAAAACCAGAACCCTCAAGTAGGGGGATCAGGATCCGCAGGGAGAAGGGATACATGACCCCCGGGGAGGAGAGGGTGTATTGACCCTCCAGAAGGAGAGGGTGCAGGGACCCCAGGGAGGAGGGGGTATACTGACTCCCGGGGAGGAGGGGTGTGTGACCCCAGGGAGGAGGGTGTGTACTGACCCCAGGGAGGAGGGGGTGGAGGACTCCCGGGAGGAAGGGTGGAGGGACTCCAGGAGGAGGAGGTTGTAGGGACCCTGGAAGGAGGGCTGTAGGGCCTCCGGGAGGAGGGGAGTGTAGTGACCCCGAGAAGGAAGGGGTTAGGGACCCCAGGTGGAGGATCCGGGACCCCAGAGGCCACGGTCGGCCACCTCACCTGCTGGTAGTCGCGGTCCTCGGGCCGGAATCGGTCACTGGTGGGCTCCCACTGCAGGTCCAGGTGGGGCAGCCGGTGCAGGAGGTTCACCCACCAGGGCGCCGCGTAGCTGACCCCGGCCATGGCGGCCCAGCTGCTGGCTGCTCGGCTCGCGGCGATCGCGGGGCTCAGGGGCCCGCGGACCCCTGCCCGGCAGCCCGCATTCCCGCCCGCTGGTGGGCCCGGCTCGGCCCGGCTCGGCCCGGCTCGGCAGCGCTCGGCTCCGTTCGGCCGCCCGCGCCCGCCGCCTCTTTGTTCGCCGCCACCGCCGCCTCCTCTCGCACCCCGTCTGCCCCCCTCCACCACCACCCCGCGCCGGCCCCGCCCCCGTGGGGCCATTGGGCTGCTGCCGGAGGCCACGCCCCTCGTTGTTATTTGCCCTCCCATCAGAGGCCCTGCCTCCGAAGCACCATTGGTCCCCTGCTACAGGCCCGCCCCGAGATGACGGACATTTTCGAGCCAGTGGCTCCGCCCCTCACCGCCTTTCGACTTCTTGACACCGGCCCCTCCTCCTGACGACAGTTGGCCACTGTCCCCGCCCCTTGATCGTCATTGGCTGACAAATAAATATCCCGCCCATGCCCTCCAGAGACGTAGGACACCGGCGGGACTTAGTGCGTCCAGGGTCCCGGCGCCCTGCTCCCGGTGCCCTTCCATGTGCAGCCGCCTGAACTGCACTTCGCCTCACGTGTTCGCGCCTGTTCATGGAGCTGGACCTAGAGGATGGAGGTCTAGGACCCGGTTCCACCCGCGACCCCGGGTTTTCCCCGGCCGCGCGACTTCCACGCTGCCTACAAAATGGGGTGACTGGATTCCGAGTCTGACTGTCATCCCGGCGCTGTGTGATCTAGGCCAAGCGACACAACCTCTCTGTGCCCAAAGCGCTCGGTTGCTAACTGCTGCTAACCACAAAGTCGGCGGTTCAACCCACCAGCCGCTCTGCGATAAAAAGACGTGGCTGTTTGCTTCCATATAGATTTCCAGCCGTGGAAACCCACTGGGGGCAGTCATGCTATCTCCTACAAGGTCGTATGAGTCAAGCACTCTACCTCTGAAAAGCAGCCAGTAAAGACCCTCTGGGCCACAATGGAGTATTATTACCTGGTGAAGTGCTGAAAGATGAGCCCCAAGGTAGAAAATCCAGAAAAACCAAACCCACTGCTAGTAGGTAAATTCCTACTCCTAATGCTCTTGTTTTTGTTGTTGTTAAGTGCTGTCAAGTCAGTTCCCACCCATAGCGACCCTGTATATGGTTTCTGAGGAGCAGCTGGTGAGCTTGAACTGCTGACCTTGCAGTTAAAGCAACTTTGCAGTTTGACACATTAACCACAGCACCACACCAGGACTGCTTGTGGGGCAGAGTAGAAATGCTCCATAGATTTTCCAAGGCTGTAAATCTTCAAGAATCAGATTGCCTCATCTTTCTCCTTCTGAGCTAGTGAGTTCTAACCTCTGATCTTTTGATTAGTAGCCCAGCACTTATCCCACTGCACTACCCGGGGTCCTCTAGGTGGGAAGGTACTCCAAATACAGGGTGTTGGCAAACGTGGTCTCAAGTGAACTAACAATTGAGAAGATGGTGCAGGATGGGTGACATGTAAATGCTTTGTTCCGTTGGACGTGGGTCATCATGAGTCCAAACTGACTATATGGCAAACAATTAATTGGAGGAAGACAGTGCCTTGTCCTGGTTTCCTGGTGGTGCCCCTTTGCCCCTAAAATCAGGCCTGGAAATTCCCAGCTGAATGTGGACTTTGGAACCACACAGCCACAGATGGGAGCCTCTCAAATGGAGGAGGCTCCCACAGTGGGCACTTGACTGTAACACTCGTCTCCCCATGGAGGTGGGTTTTTGAGTTTTTACTTCTTACTCTCTGAGCCGTCTTCCTCGTTGACTTCCTGTGTTCTGATATCTCTCATCCTTCTACTCTGCTAGTTCTCCCAGCAGATGGGACCCTTTGGGCAGGCTTTTGGTTGGGCAGGGCCCACCTAGTAGACCCGTCTGTCTGCTCTTCCAACTGCCCTGACTTACCCTTTTCCTAAGATAAAGCAGGAATCCTGGTGTGATGCTGTGAGTTAATGGGCAAGATTGCAAACTCAGTTTGTACTATAAGATTGGCAGTTCAAGCTCACCAGCTGCTCCTCAGAAATCCTATACAAGGTCACTGTGGATTGGAACCTCCTTGATGGTACTTAACAAGATAAGGCAAGGGTCAGGCAGGGCTGGGTCAGGTAAAAAAGCCCTTTGCAAAGCTAGATAAGTCCCAACCACCACATGATGGAAACCATACCCAGGGAGGTCACCCCTTCCATCCTTGAGATTAACAGCCAAACTCATAACCACTATGCTACTGGTGCTCCTTCCGATGAGGGATAATAAGGACAAAATGATGGTGGGACTGAGAGAAGGAGAAGGATGGCTAGATCTCTGGGAGCGTCCTTTTAGTTGTTATGTGCCATGAAGTCAGTTCTGACTCATAACAACCCCACATACAACAGAACATACACTGCCCAGTCCTGTACCATCCTCACAATTATTAATATGTTTGAGCCCATTGTTGCAGCCAGTGTATCAATCAGCCACGTTGAGGGCCTTTCTCTTTTCTGTTGACCCCTCTGTTTCACCAAGCATGATATCCTTCTCCAGAGATTGGTACCTCTTGATAACATGCCAAAGCCACAGACACTGAAATTTCTTGGAAGCTAACAACAACAACATAGCTTCCAATCTCTTCCCTGGAGCCAAAGCTGCTGGGATCCCTGGTCAGAACTGGCCATGCCAATCCCTACCAACCCAAGGTCTCATTTGGAGTAGCTGGTACCTTTCCAGGTCGATGCTCTCCCTTGGTACCAAGTGGCTGCTAGCTGTGAAGAGGTGAGCAGGCAAGACATTCCCTTGGAGAAAGTAGGCTGTCATCGTTACACTACTAGACTACCTCATCTTTTTCCCTTGGAGCAGCTGGAGGGTTTGAACTGCTGATCTTTCAGTTAGCAGCCGAATGCTTAACCCACTGCTCTTTAGCAGGGTCTCGTGAAAAAGGAAAAGAGGGACTCCCCCCAGTTCTGCTCCTTATCCCAACCCGATGCTGCTAGGGGTGGGGCGTGGGGGATCGTCAAGAAATAGACCTTCTTGGCAGGCAGGCAGGGAGGGAATGGGGTTCATAGCCAAAGGATTGGCAGTGGTGTGATCTCAGGCAGACACGTACCGAGTTCTTGAGCCTAGCACCCAGAAGTGTGAAGGTAAGATCAGAGAGCATCCACTCCAGTAACATCATGGGGTGAGTTGTGCCTCCCCACCCCCAAAAAGACAGGTTAAAGCCCTAACCCTTGGTATCCATGGACATGTTTGGAAATGACTTATGGCGACCCTAGGTGTTCAGAGTCAAACTGCTCCATGCATTTTCAAAGCTGTGAACTTTCTGAAGCGGATCACCAGGCTTTTCTTCTGAGGTGCCTGTGGCTGGGTTCAAGGTGTCAGGTCAGCCTTTCAGCTAACTCTCCTTATTTGTAAATAGGATCTGTGGCTTTGTCATCAGTTAGAATGACCCATAATGAGGTGGATTGCCATAGTGGCTGCAACCATGGACTGAACCCTAGCAACAACAGTGAGAAAGGATGGTGCAGGACTGGGCAGTGTTGTGTTTTGTTGTACATGGGTTTGCTTAGTTTTTTACCATCTGTACTTTTATCTGGGAGTGTGGTGGCTCTGTGGGATAAGCACTGAACTGCAAATCAAGGTCAGCAATTGGAGTTTACCAGTCGCTCTGAGGGAAAAAAGATAAGCTTTTCTGCTCCTGTAAAGATTAACAGCCTGAGAAGCCCGAAACAGGGTTGCTGAGTTGGAACTGACTGAAAGGCACCTAACAACAAGACAACATGAGGTCATTTTGGAATTAGGTGGGTCTAGATCCCATCTAGGTGGTGTCCTTATAAAACAGGAAGGAACATGGAGACAAACAGAGAGAAGGTGGCCACGTGATGACAGAGGCCAGATTGCCAGGAGCCACCAGACGCTGGAGATGGTGAACCTCACCTAGCACCTTCAGAGGGAGCAGGGCCCTGCTGACCAACACCTTGATTTCAGACCCCCAGAATCCAGAGCTGCGAGAGAACACATTTCTGTTGCTTCAACCTTCCACTTTGTGACACTTTGTGACACAGGAAATGAACATCTATTGAGGATAGGGCAAGAAGCAAGGCTTCCTCTGCTTCCTGGCTCCCCTTCAGCTTTTGTCTGGGGGCTTGTTCATCCCACTGGCTTGGCAGAGGCAGGGAGGGGGAGTATGCCTGGTTGCAGAGGGATTTGGGGATACTGCGATGAATGAGGAAACCTCCAGCCCTCCCCAGGTGGTGGTCAGATAGATGTTAGGAATCCCTTCCCCTCAACCCTGAGGACCTGGGAATCTGGAAAGTCCTAGAAGGTTCCAGAAAGTTCTGGAGTCACGCATGGCCTCTGCCAGACCTCAGCAGGTTAGACAGGGTGATTTCAAGTCCTGGAAATGAAAACACTGACCCCTGTCTGTACTGTCCACACACTCCAGTGGCCAAAAGATGGGCCTGGGAATCCCTGTTCTAACCTAGGACCAAAAATAGTCATTGTCTCCCTGGTGCTGTGATAGCAGGACAGAATCCCTGACCTGTGCACTGTACTGCTGGAACCCAGTTCGTCCCTGGTTGTTGTTGCGTTTACCTAAAGTTATCCCAGGCTCTGAAGTCCCTGACTAGCACAAATGGTAAAATGCTCAGTTACTCACTGAAAGGTTGGAGGCGCCTAGTCAGAAAGGTCTGGTGATTGATTGATTTCTGAGAAATCAACCACTGAAAACTCAATGGATGCAGTTCCACTTTGACACATGTGGGGTCGATGTGAGTCAACTGTCTTCATGCTATATACCAGTTACAAGTCCCTTTGAGCCTTAGTGTTTATTCTGGTGAAATGGGAGGGGCCATGTCTCCTGTCAGATTTGAGAAATGAATGAAAGAAGCAAGAGCCTCATGAAGGGGCTTCACTCAGTGTCCCTTACCTCCCCCACTCCTTCTCCTCATTCTTCCTTCCTTCTCTCTCCCCCCTCACTTTCTTCTTT